TAATTCTGAGTGCCACGATCACTGCCTGTCACTGCCTGCAATAGTCTTGCTGGGGTTTGAGCTGACCACTGCCAGGGGAGCACCAGGGCTTGTCCCTAGAGTTTGTTTGCAGTAGGAGGGCACTGTTTTGGCTAGTGATTTATTATAGGCTTGGTAAAAGCACAGATCCTGGCTCAAGTGTAGACCTGCTCTCAGGGTGTGTACAGCCATCTGCAGAGGCAGAGCTGAGTTGGGGACGGTGCTGAGCATCCCATAGCTCCTCCAGCGAGCTGTGAGTTACCATCAGTGCCACCACACCATGTCATAGCTGAAGGATTTCCATATTTACTGGCATTTACGCTCTGCATTTCTCTGCTGTGTAAACAACAACAGTTTATTTGACTGCAGGCATAGAAAGCACAGCTGGTGCCTTTCTGGGGCAGTAGTTTCCATATCCTATGCTGCTGTGAGAAGAAGAGAAACTGGAGAGTGTGTTTTCAGGAAGGGAAAATCTACAGTGAGTTATGGGGAGGTTTTATGACATGATGAGCAAGAAAGTGACATGGTAGCCCTGCACAAATCCCCACCAGACACAGGTGGGGACAAAGGACTCAACAATCTGTCTTGCCTTCAGTTGCTAAGTGATATCCCCTGCTGTATTATGTCTCTTAAGAGACTCAGGATCCTATATGGGATGTTTCTCTTGGCTTCCTGTGCTGAGATTTGATAGTGCAGTTGAAGACTTGGAGCGCTTTGGTTACCAACTGGCAGTAATTGCCAAAGGTGAGAGCAGCGAGCTGTGAAATTTCATAACACCACTGTCACAGCAAATAACCCCTCAGGTTTTATAGCTGCTTTCTCTCCTCAGACCTCTTACACAAACATAGCATAGTATAGTCAAGGATCTTGTACAGATGTCTCTGCTTTGGAACAAAGTCACCCTTGAGCAACCCGTAGAAACTTTATTGCTGTAAATATTTGATCCAGGAGAACAGGTAGGCATTGCTGCTTCCCTGTGCCCTTTCAAAGCCCTTAGACTGTGTGGTCTGTTAGTATTTTTTTGGCACTCAGAGATGGAATTTAAACTTTAACATTTGACAGCATAGAATACCTTGGTGAAAAGCTGAAAAGGCACAGAGGTTACAGCTCAGAGCTGTGAGGGCCAGACTGGCAGGAAGAAAAGCCCATCTGTCTGCACACAAGGTCCTGGCTCCTGCTGTGACCCAGGTGCCATCCACTACTTCTGCATCCCTTGGAATCATGAACCTTTTAAACTCAGTGCCTGTGGTTTGGGTTGTCAAGCCAGAGACTTTCTCTTTGAGTTTAAAGAGCTGTTTTTAAAAATAACCCTTCAGCAAAAAGACATTTCTTCTGTATTTACTATTTAAAGCTGGACTCCATTTTATTTTTTCAGGTGATGTGTCATGCCTATCTTTTAATTTTTCTGTTTAAGTAAAGTGCTACATTTTAACCTCCTGGAATGATGTTTGATTAAAATCGGACCAGCAATCTGTCTCTGCTGACAACTGAGGGACTTCTTATCAGCTTTGTCCTTCATGGAGAGAAAAGAGACAGCAGTGACAGAGGACAGAGAAGGCCAGAAGTGCTGTGGGAGGGGGCAGTGCCTTTGCCAGAAATGGGTGGTAGAAATGAAGCCATTTTATCTGGGAGCAAATAAAATTAATCACACTGGTATTTCTTCTTCCTCAAGTGTTGTCTTGGGCAGGATATTCTCTTACAACACTTGGAGGGTTTTGGGCTGCTCTGCAGTGATGATCAAGAAATTATCTGTGGATTGAGGTGACTGTCACTTCACAGCATCAGTTTAATGTGGCCTGGGAAAATCTTTCCCAGGTAGCCTCTGCTAACAACTTCTTTTTCTCTGATAATGATGAAGATTGAGCAATGAGAAAAATCACAACCCCAGATGTGAAATATGGTGGGAATCAAGCAACAGCTTTTTTTAATTCAGTCCCAGCTTCAAATTGGCAGATGTTCACTATAGAAAGTGAGGAGCCTCTTGAAATCACAGATTTAGGTAGTAGTAGTAGTCTTTATTTATGTTAGAGGGATTCTTCTTGCCTCAATCAAGAATCACAGATACTGGATGAGAGCTAAATGACTCCCTGTACTTCCAAGAACTTACACTCTGAGATGTGGAGGACAGCAATTTCCATGGGAAGGCTAAACAGGCTTTCTGAATGTCTGCAACATCTTTTGCTCTGTGTTATTCAACAGTGTGTGTCTGCCAGGCTGAAATCAGAGGGTACACCAAGTCATCATCACTGCTCACCACACTCTGCTCTAATAAGACAAAGCTGGCAAAGGAGGGCAGGAATGTCTCTTTTTTTACTTTACACTTAGAAGAGTGAAGTCAGAGAACTTTTCTTCACAGTCCTTTACAGAGAACCTGAGACACTCAAAAACTGAACTTAGTTTATTTTTATATCCCCCTCCCTCCTCTGTGGTGCAGCAGAGCATGCACAAATGGGTAATTTAGATCACTTAAAGAGTCATCATACCAAAGGCATTAGCAGAAGTGGGTTTAATATGGTGTTGTAGAAGTGCAGCTCTACAAAATTTGATGGCAAGGTTCACTGTATTCCTTACTACAGGGATGAAACATCCAAAGGAAAATTGACTTAAAATTGAGCTGGAATGATTTACACAGCGACCAAAGACACAGAAGGGTAAGGAAGACCTTTCTGTGGAGTTGGGAGGTTCAAGGTGGACCCCCTTGCTCTTTAAGCTCCTGACGGAGCTTAGATGTGGCTGTGTCCAGTCTTAGTCTCATACTTGGACAAAGGTTTATGTCTAATAGAATTGGCTACTTGAATTTCCTTAATATTAGTTCAGCAACTGCCAGTCAATCACTGAGAGTGTGTGATGAATTAGGGGGTCTCTCAGCCTTGGGGAAGGAAGGATCTCTTAGTCTCAGCTAAGGAGTCTCAAGCCATGAGAAGTGTTCCAGCTCAAGGGGAGATCACCTCAAGGGAGGGCTCAGAGAAGCCTCACTTAAGCTGTTTTATTTCAGGCTCCTAGTCAGACTGCAAACAATGGGAAAGGTAGGCATGAGACTCCGTGTACCCAGAGCCCTCTTTGTTCCTTGATAAATGAGTCTTGGAAAAGCCACCCGCTATTTACGTATTAATTGCACGATGGCTGTTCCAGGCTGATATGCATCAATACTCTGACATATGCTCATATGTCACTGTTCTTCTTTGTGGGTTTCCTGGAGGAGTTCTTGGCCCAGCTCCTGCTCAGGCCTTTACCTCCTTTGGAGCCTGTACCAACCTGTTGCTGGTTTGGTTAAGGGTTAGAACGCATCTGCCACAGAGCAAAAGGGACAGTGTGATAGGTGAAAGGAAATGGGCTTTTCAGAGTGCTCAGTCCACCTCAGATGTGGCTTCATTCAGGGTGTCAGAAGTGGTGAAGCAGCACTGCAGGAAATGGGGGTGGTAAGTTTTCCAGAATGACTCAACGCTTCTGTTGTCACCAACTCAGCAGTGACAGAAAGTGGAACTTGATGGGGGTTGAGTGGGATGGAAATAAATTGGATGAAGAATGTGTCAGTGTCTCAGTTAATTGGTGCTTGCAAGGAAGGTGGTGTGGCCACTGCTGTCATCTGGTGGGACATTTTTATCTCTACAGAGCAGACGAAGACCACCACATAGTGCAGGTGACCTTGTCGTCCCTTCAGAGAAAGGGTTACCTGTTGGCCACCAGATAACTCCTTATGGTCTCTGAAAAGTGAATTTTTTCTCAATACCACAAAGCCACTGAGTGGCCTTGAGACCATCTTCCAGGATGTTCTTCCTACCTGTTTGACAGGCAGCTGTCACAGTAGCTTGTGGGGCATTTTGTACTATGGAAGAACTCCAGAGCAGGAGCACAGGAGGGAGTGGGTTTTTCCCCCAAATTAAAGTTGGAGGTCAGGTCTTAGACACACAGAGGTGAGTTGATCAGAATCTCTAGACCTCTCACTCTTGTATTTGCAATATAGAGCAGTAGTCTTTAAGTCCCCAGATTCCAGAGTGCCCTTAGAAACACCAGTTGAAGGCTGAAAATGCAGTGGTAGCCACATTCTGCGTGTTTCCCCCTCTGATAAAAATATCCTTTAGACTTGAGGAGGTTTTGCTGGCAAAACTATGTATAGTGTGTTACCTCCTGAATTACTGCTCGTGGTGAACACTGAGCCAGGTCTGGAGAGTGGGGGTTCATTTGCATTGCAAACCTGGCATGGTATATAGGAAGGCTGAGGCAGTGTTATTACAGTCTTCTCTTTGAAGTCAAGTAACAGCAATGGCATTATTTGCGTCTGAGTTGATATTAACAGTGCCCTGGTGGTGGCATTATCCTTGGCTCTCTAGAGACTCAACACAAGGGGCAATCAACAGCCTGAAGTGCTCAGAAACTGAGCCTGTTCTTTCCACTGGATTAACAGCAGCAAGTGCACAAACTCGTTATTAAGATGGTGCATTTGTTTCTTTGGAGTCATGATGGAATCTTGATAGAGTTAAAAATCCCATTAATATTTACATCACTTAGTGTTACTGGAAGTAAGCACATTTATTTTAACTCGAGCTGCAAATTTTTAGTTCTTTGTAATTACAGTACTGCAATTAATTATTCATAAGGTTGTACAATATAGTGTCACAGGAAACCTGTTTTAATTTAGTGGTAAGTCAATGTTTCAGTTTTGTGTAAAAACAGAAACTAATTTACCAGCCCTACTTGCTTGTGTTTTCCCAGATGGGCTTTGCAAACCTTCTTCAGCTGCTTCTATTTAAACTACTTATAGTAGTTTTGGAAGTTTAGAAGTTACTGGGGAGGTCTTAGGTGCAGTTTACGTGGGTGCAGGTGATTTTGAATGGTCACAACAACCCTCTGCAGTGCCCAGGCTTCTCCGGGGAAGAGAGGTTGGAAAACTGCCTTGTTGGAAAAGGTAGTGTTTGACAAATGGGGTCTGTGAGAGATCCTGTAGCTTATACCTCTCCTTTCTAACTCTCTCCTCTGCAGGATGAGGTCTCTTCTGTGGACATTGAACTCCCAGCTACCTATGCCTATTGCCTGTGATGGAAGAACTGGATGTTAATGTGAGGTAGGATAAATGATGTGGCTCCTTTTGTCTTGGACAGCTGCTGAGCTGCAGAGGGGCAGAGGCCCCACGGTGTGTTTGTAAAGCTGCAGGATGGTATTTTCTGTTTGCTTGGAGATGAAGGTCTCTGCTCATGCAGCAGTGCCTGTTTTGGGGATTCTTGGAGCTGCTGTGAGGATGTGGTGTCACCCTGGGATGTGTTTAAGTGTCAGATGGAACACAGTCTAGTCGAGGATTTCCTTGCAGTAGGAAATGTTATGAATTTTGCAAAGGCTGCAGTGTGAGGTTAGAGAGACATTCCTGGAAATTTTTGACAGTTCAGTTTGGGACTTGTATTTATCACAGCCAAGGGGGGGTGGCAGACCTAATTTTGTCTAATTCTAGAGTAGAAAAATAAATGACCCGCAAGTATTTCCTCTTAATATTTTATTGAATTTTTTAATTTCATGTGACTTGGTGATTGTTATTGGGCACATTTATTATAGGTAGTAGGTTAATGAGATACTGTCAAGTGGTTTGAAATGAAAGCTCAAAACCTTAAATTGGTTAGAGTAATATGGAGAGGCCAAACTCTGCTTGTCTTGGGCACTTGCCAGCATAGGTTGCAATTGTACTGTGCACAGGGTGTAAACAATGGCCTTGTGAAAGACTGGTAAAGCCTTCTTAGACCTTTGGTAAGACTTTCATTGTATCCCTACAGAGGATTCCCTGTAGGAATGGAGTAGAGTTCCCCATCAGCATGAGAGCCCCTCCTTATCTTATAGGAGCAAAATCTGACTCCCTTGGAGCACAGGGGACTCTTATCTACACCAGTTCTGAATGGCACTGTTGGCCATTCTTGAGCATTTTGCCATTCCTTTCTTGTCTTTCCTTCCCATTTACTGTGGGGCAACATGTTGGGAAGTTGCAGTTAAGGGATGAGTCTGAACGTTGCTCAGAAGCTCTGGGCTGGTTTTCATGGGCTGGCTGGGGTTTCCATTGGACAAGCACCTTACTTAAGAACTAGGCTTTGAGAAGTAGGTAGTTTTCCAGTTCTCTCACTAAACTCTTGTAGGTCCTCAGGCAAATTCACAAGGCTGATGGGTTCTCCCACTCTGACACCTGCAGTCCCATACACCCTCCAGCAGTGGCAGCTCTTCAGGTCCACAGCTGGGAGGGGAGAAGTGGAAGAGCAGCTGCCTGGCATTTACAGCCAGGATTGGGTGGGCACAGCTGTGGTTCTGCAGCTGGAGCTCTTCTCATTCTCTTGGGCAACAAGGGGAAACCTCTGCTATGTGAGTTGGTGCTTCTGAGTGTGGTCAGAGCTATCCTGAGTACTTCACACTGTATGAAGGGTTCTTGCTTCCTTAGATGTTTGGGAGAGGTTATGCTCTTGAGAAACAAGCTTTTGAAAAAAATCGTAAGCATCTTCAGTGCAGGTAAATAGCTTTTATGAAACCCTTTTATTGTAGCTGCTGGTGAAGGCAGAATCCCTTTGCTATATCAACTGTAGAGAAACAATGTATTATTTGATTTTGTCACAGCAGGAATTGCTTTTTATTTTTAAGCTGAGCCCCTAAACCAGCTGAATTTTAGATTGATGTTAATTGCTTCCAAACTTGGCTTTATCAGCTTTAGTTTTCTCAGTTTGCTACTGGAGGTATTTTTGTGGCTTGGAAACCTCTGAAAAGTGCAGAGCCTTCCAGCAGTACTGTGTGGGGCTCATTAATCTTGCCTTGACTTTGAGAAATGAGAAGCAAGGTGAGGGAACAAGGAATCAAATTGGTTGAATTAGTTGTGTTTGTTTTGAAAAAAGAAAAGATCCCATTTTTTAACCCAGCCACTGTTCTCAGAGCCCTTGTTCAGAGGCACAGTGAACACTAATGCTGACCTCCCTGATCATATGCCCTCCTGAGTCAAATCGCATGTTTGAGTGAGTGCCAAATGTGGAACCATGCTGTGTTGGTCCAAGAGGCTCCTTTTCCATGTGGATTGCAAGAAGTGGAGCTGTTGGTGGCTGTCTCTAAGATGGATTCATTACCTGTGGTTGGTACAGTGGCAGGAGGGCTGATGGCAGAAAGGGGCAGAGAAGGTCTTAGGTCTCCTCTCTCTATCCAAAGCTGGGGAGAAACAGGAGCAATAGTCATAGTGGGAGAGAGAGGGAAGCAAAGACTCATCCCTGGAGCCCCAGGAACATCCTAGGAGAGGAGTCTGTGTGTGCCCTCAATCTCCCCTTGCTTGGGATGCTGGCAGCCAGTCGTGAGCCCAGCGCTGGGCTGGGAGGCAGGACAGGCAGAAAACTGGGCTGAAAGAAGATGTGACTGTTTGGACAAGGAAGAAACTGTGCTGAGTGGTTGCAACAAAATAATTATCATATTTATTGACCCAAAGCATAGAAAAGGGAAGGAGGTTAGGAAAAAACTTGCGTGCTTTGAGTGACCTGTCAGTGAGGATTCATGGAATTAAGATTCCCCCAGCAGTTTGCAATAGAAGTGTTTATTCTTAGATATACACAAGCTCTTTTCAAAACCTCTCCAGCTTCTACACTTTGAATCATTAAATCATTGTTTATCTCAAGTTCTTTAATCACATTTCTGTTTAGGTGAGAAATAGCAGGCTATCAGATGTCATTTAGCAGGCAAGAATCAGCCTAGAGCTCTCTTTCTAGTCCCCTTTCCAAGGGAAGATCAACTCTAATCCTCCTGTAATACCTGCAGCATCCATCCAGAAAGGGATTTGCTCTTGCATTTCTGCCGAGACAAATGTACTGATTGAGAAGATTTTTGAGCCCTGTCTCCTCCACCTGGTCCCCCCGGCAGGGACAGTGCAGTGATCAGAGGAGCACGTAGGTGAGAGCTGAGTGCTTTCATCCCTTGGTGTACAAGCGATACACAATCCTGATTCACTTACTGAGCTGATGTGGTTGAGTGCACCTGCTCCTGAGGATAATGGCAGGCAGTGCCAGAAAAGAGCAAAGTAAAATGCTACAGATCCCTTATGAGGCAAGATTTAATAGTACTGATTTACATCTGCCGTAGATATGACCATGTATAAGCTGAATGAAATAGAGCCCAGTCCTCACAGCAAGAAGGACATTGAGGGGCTGGAGCGTGTCCAGGGAGGGGAAAGGAGCTGGGGAAGAGTCTGGAGAGTCATTCCTATCAGGAGCAGCTGAGGGAGCTGGGGAGGCTCAGCCTGGAGAAAAGGAGGCTCAGGGAGGACCTTCTCACTCTCTACAACTCCCTGACAGGATGGTGGAGCCAGGCAGGGGTCGGGCTCTGCTCCCAGGGAACAAGGGACAGGACAAGAGGAAACAGCCTCAAGCTGTGCCAGGGGAGGTTCAAGTTGGACATCGGGAGGAATTTCTTCACTGAAAGGGTTGTCAGGCATTGGAAGGGGCTGCCCAGGGAGGTGGTGGAGTCCCCATCCCTGGAGGTGTTTTGGTAATAACTGGATGTGGCACTCAGTGCTCTGGTCTGGTTGACAAGGTGGGGATCAGTCACAGGTTGGACCTGATGATCTTGGAGGTCTTTTCCAACCTGTGATGTGTTATAAGGAACCGGTTGAAAGATAGTTGCTGGGTTTGCCAGGTTTATCCTCTCTGTGCCTGGGGGTGCTGGGGGGACAGTTTGGAAGGAATCCACAATCTGGGAGCACTAAAACAGACGGGGCATTTTTGAATCTGGAGCCGCAGACTTTACAGAGCATTGCCCATCTGCCAACTCTGGGTGCAAGGAGAGGGGCAGAGCAGGGGGACACAGGGAAGCAAGGCACAGTGAAGAGCCTCACTTTCACATTTTTGGGCTACCAACCAAAAATCCTCAGCAGCCAGAAAATCCTGGGAAAAGAAGTTCTCTTTGCTATAGCCCAGGCATTGCTCCGCCAGAGCAGAAGCCGTTATCAGCCTGGGTTCATATTGTTCAACTTTTTCTCAGTTTCTAGGGAAACACTTTAAAGCACTATATTTATCGGAACGTCTTTCCAAACACCTCTGCCAACACTTAATTAATGGAATTTTTAAGCCTGGCTCCAGCTCCTGCAAATTAATAGTGTGCTCCCTTATGGCAGCTGTGGAGCAAGTGAGACACGGATAGTCTCGTAAATAAGTTGGAGGGTGCAGAGGCAGAGGGGCAGCTCCTATTTGTCTCAGCGTGTGCTCAGCCCCCCGGGGAGGTGAGGCCGTCACACACTTCTGTGATGTCTCATCTGCTTTTATTACTGTGCCCTGAGGGATCTGTGCAGATGAAAATGTCCTGGATAAAAAGCTGGGCCATAAAAATGAACTTTTTGGTGTCTTTCATCACATCTTGAGCGTCAGTGTCTCTGCACAGAGTGGCAGCTAGTAAAGAACTGGAAAAGGCTGTGGAAGGGTGTGAAAACCATCCAAAAGACTGGGATATCCTGGAGCAGACATGGCTCTAGCGCTTGGCAAAAAAAAAGGCAGCTGCCCTAGAAAGCAACAGGTTGCCCAGAGCAAGAAAACAGGCTGGACCTTATTGCCAACTTTTTCCATACCAGCTGCCTGAAAGGGAAAAGCTGGCACCTGCCAGTCCAGGACACCCTCCTGGACTTCTGAGGGCATTAAGCAGGCAAAATTCAGTTTGTCTCCATGTTTGGGAACTCTTGAAGCAACAGTGCTCAGAGATGGTGAGTAAGGAAGCTGGGAAGGGGGTATTAGGGTGTCTTGAGAGAGAGGACTGCAGCAAAACTGGAGCTGTGCAGGAGATGCTGGACCAGGTGAGAGCTGTGGGGGTTCATAGGGCACCATGAGTCACATCGACAGAGCTGGGGTTCCTCCAAGAACAGACATGACCTCTAGGTCATTTGACTCCTCTATGGGGAAGAACTTTTCTCCTTTTGCATTGCTCTCTTCACCAGGAACGACTGTTTCTAGGAATATTTGTCAGGGGCTTCTGCAGATGAGCACAGCAAGACATTCCTCCTGGAAGCTCTTGCCACAAGCTAAACACAATGAACAAACACTTCCAGAACTTCTTAGGCTACCCTGAGAGAAATGTGCTGGT